GTATTATTATGATTTTTTTATGATTCAGTTAACGATGAAGGTGGTCCAAATCGATAAGTTTGTTGATAACATACTAATAGACCAATCAAAATAAGAAGTAAACCAAAAAAATGTCATTGATCAAATTAATATGTTTCACACATAAAGAATCGCATTATCTCCGCAATCTATCAATGATAAATTCTAGATGAAAGCGTAATTGCGCTAAAATGCATAGTTTATACTATAGTGCATTAAGAAAAACCCAGATTATGAAAAATACTACTCCAACCTCTCAGAGATGGTACTATAATATTAGGTCCTTATGTTAAGGAATTATAGCTATTGTACTGGCCACTTTGATCTCAAATATCTCCTCTTTTCACAGGAATTCAAAGTTCAAATTTGTACAGTTATTTACTCATGATTGTTTTTCGAAAACCGTAATTTGCGTGCTTTTTCCATCTTTTGTTTTTCTTTGATGTCACTGAGTTTACAAAATGAAAACATAAAATATCGCGTTTTTTGGTGAGCATTGAATTCCGTCGTGGCACCAGTGCAGAAACACTCGAAGAATTAATGATGTGTATGGCGATGGTTTTGCAAAAGAAAACACGGTGCGTTTTGGTTCCAATGTTTTCGTTCTGAAATTTCGATCTGCAAAACAAGCCCCGTGAGCAGCCAGAGTCCAAGGTTGATAATGAAGAATTAAAAGCTAATGTGGAAGTATCCATCGATAACCACGTCCGAGTTAACTGCAGGCTGCAGTGTTAGTAACAAAATTGTTTTGATCCACTTGAAGCAAATTGGGAAGGTGAAAAAGCTTGAAAAGATCATGAATTGAATGAAGCAAATCGACAAACGCGCGTAGACTGCTTGTTATTAGCCAACCGGCATAATAATGAAGGATTTAAATCGACATTCATTACCTGTTATGGAAAAGTGGATCTTGTACGATAATCGGAAACACTCATCGCAATGGCTGAATCCTAGCAACTAACCAAATCCTGCCCCCAAGCGAAAATTCAAACTCAAAAGTTACTTGTGAGCACTTAGTGGACTAGTGCCTGTGTTGTTCACTTCAGCTTTCTTAAATATGACCAGAATATGATGGCAGATGTGTCATTGCAATTGCAAACCATATTAAAAGCATTGCTAAACAACCGAGACTGGTCAATCACCGTAGGCCACTGCTGCTTCAGGACAACGTTACGAAATTGAAGAGCTTCAAATGTCCAATATTTCCACCGTACTTCCCGGATCTTGCTTTCTTTCAAAATTTGATAACTTCTTGCAAGGGAAAAAAATTCAAATCCGATTTATCGATACTCGTCCTAATGTATTTTTTAGTAAAAGGGATCAATAAAACTTACATTTTTACATTTTGATTAAATAAATATATTATATTTTGAAAATCAACTGAAATTGGCGTTTTGTAAGGGAGTACTAGGTTACCTCTTACAAATTTCATATGTTAGGACCTAATATATTTACTACACAGTTGAGAAATTAAAGAGATTTCGGCAGATCTTCAATGTCCGTGGTGGTAACAAAAATACGCATTCGCTGATGAGACACCAAATAATAGACAAATAGAAGGGGAAGAGTTATGAGAAAAAAAGAGCTGCACACAGCGAGCCTTCTGAAATCAAGCATTAGTATGATGCACCGTTACCGATACCTAAAATATATACAAAGACTTGATGAATCTTATATAAAGATAAAAACATATCAGACGTTTTATAAGAACTTAAGTACTACATCTAAGACTAAACTAAACTAAACCACAGAGTCTGATTCAAAAGTTGAGGATAATGAACGTTAATAAAAATAATAAAATATTTCACTATTTTGAACATTTTTTGATTAAGTTGATTATATAAAATAAATATTTTTTTAAAAATAATAATAAATTAATAATAACCCTGTTTGTTTTCATATTCTCTAAATTAATTTGCCCCTATATTTATACTTTTGACTTACATGCACGCACATAATAGACTATTTACTGTGCACAGGTATTACATGATATAAATTAAATATTCAGTTACTTTCCGCATTATAAGTTACATTTTTATAAAATACACTAACTAAACTAAAAATAAATGGCTCCCAGAAATACGTAACTCGATGTACAAAAAATGATATTTCGTTAAATAACAACGTAATTATACTTGCAATTCTAGATTTTACTGAAATATAGAGATATAAAGGCGTAAGTAGAGTTAAATTTGTTCATATATGTAAAAATACATAACAATAAAGCAATAATTGTAGTTACCCTGCAAATGTTCTTTGTGTTTCGTGGAATACAGAAGTAACCGTGTTTTTTTAGATTATCTGGAAGTACATGAAGCTGTTCCTAAATTAAATGACACATGTAGTTGAAGGCAACTGTGACCTACGATTTTCTCTTGAAACTTATTTCTAGGAACTCATACAAAAAATATAGGACAGTTTTTTTAAGCTCCTGAAAAGCGGTAAAATCACTTACTTCCTTTTCCACGAATGGTGCGATTTTATAATACTCACCCGCTCATCTCTTATGACTTAAACAGCTTGGTATTTATTAGAACACGGTATCAAGTTTCATATATCGATGCCGCTTTGGCGTGCATTCGGGGCGCTTATAAAGTTTGTTGATACGAATACAGGGTAACTATGGGTCCACACCCTGTAGTTATTCTGTATTCGTGTATATGTTGTTACATATTATATTAACAAATGTAACTCAAATGTGAATTTAAGTTACATTTGTAAATATAACATATAACAATCCACTATTTTTTCATTGATGGGTACTTCTTAGCTTATTGATCTTGGTAGTCCGTTAAGCATACCGTTTTTCTTCCGTTGGTAGCGTCTTCGAATCCTGCATGGTGCAAACATTTGTATTCATAAGTATGATTGTTTGTATCGGTCTGGGGGTTTTCTATGTATGTTATGTATGTATTTACATAAAAATGTATTTATGTATTTATATCAGTTGTCTAGTACCTATAACACAAGCACTGCATAACTTGGGACTAGATGGCGCTGCGAGAATTGTCCTGAGTTTATTACATACCATTCTATAACTGAGAGAACAGACTGGTTACTAACCAGTGTTTTATTTCATGAAATAAAAATACAAATAATATATATTTTTAAAGAGACAAAATACAATTTTGAATAGTAATTTTTTATTATTTATGGTCATTTCTGAATACAGTATAAACACCTAAGAATGGGATACATACAAATAAGATATTTAAAAAAAACTTAATACAATGTTCAATCCTAACTTTTATTAATTTTATCGCCTATTCTAAACAGATTCAACTGATAAGAATAAGCAAGAAACTTAATGCATTTTAGAGTATTTATAGCTTTCGCAGACAAGCAGTGTTACTTAAAATTTTATAAAATTTCATTTTCCAAAAATAAGAAATGAGTAAATAACTATTTTTGAATAGAAATGAGTTAATAAAATAACTATTTTAGTAATAAAAAAATTAAAACCAGTCATTCTTTTGAAAACATCTGAGCACACTTTGAAATTTGTTCTCTATTAAGTTTAGTAATATATTTATACATTTATAGAAACTAATTTTATACATTATAACAATATAACTATACGTATACGTAGATTTTACGTCAATCAATGAATGATAGTTACAAGAATTGACACAATTTTTATTATTATATTATTTAGGTCAATTACAAAATAGTTTTTTTATTGACTATCTGTTAAGTCAATTTAAAACTAATTATTATTCAGAAAAAGTTAACTTAAAAGTTACGAATTAAAAATATACCTAATAAATATAATAAAACATTTTTTTTGTCATTATTATATTTATCTGATAAAAATAAAATGTTTAGTTGTATTTATATATTTATCGGAGGAACAAATTTGCTCTTATTAGAAGATTATATGTAAGAATGACAACACTCGGTACATTTTTTTATAGTCACCTTAATTACCAAAAATCGTCTCGTCTGCTCAAAATTTCGCACGGTTACTGAAAACGGGACAATTTTGAGTCCCAGAATTCTTATCTGGGACACCGGGACTCGTATTAATATAGTAAAATAGTACTATTATATAGCAAAAAAGGGACTGTCCTATTCAAAACGGGAATTCTGGTCACATTAGCCTTTACATATACATTATTATTACTTGACTGATAGAAATACACAATCACAAAAGCGCGATGTGACGACATCGCGCTTTTGTGAATTGTTTCGATTTGTCATATTCTATTTCCTATTTTCTCTAAAAGGTAACGTTAGGTGTGATATTTTTATTTGCATAATTCACTGTAGAAAATGATGTATTAATACTACTTAGATTTATATATATATATGTATATATATATATATATATATACTAACGCACTCGGCGAACGTTGTTTTGCCATAAAATATAAAATATATATATAAAAAATAGGTGTTGGTGTTGGACTGATGAGAGATGTAAATTTAGGGTTTTATGTATTTTTTAATACTACATTATAAAGAAATGTCCAATAAATAAAAAAAATAGGGGTGGACAACCCTTATCCCTTAGGGGTATGAAAAAAGACATTAGCCGAATCTCAGACTAACTGAATATGTATATAAAATTTCATAAAAATCGGTCAAGCTGTTTCGGAGGAATATAGTAACTAAGATATACGAGAATTTTATATATAAGATAATGATTTATTAACATTTTTAGAATTACATCTTCAGTGGTCTAGAAGTTTAGTAGGATGAGCTTTGATTAGTTGCGTAAAACACATATGTACGCACCAGTTCCACTCGCGTGTCATTATTATAAGGTTATATTTAGGTTTCAATTCGATATTTTCATTTTCCCGTACGATAATTGATTCATACAGTCATTCTGTTGCCCCGCCACCGTATACCGTTAGGTGGGGGGTATAGTACTTTGCTAGTACCGTCAATAGACGAATTATTCCATAATCAGAAAAAAATATATATATGTCAAGTGGGTGTACCATTCTATTATAATATATAGATTGTTATTGTTACAGGAGGTTGCTCTGCATTCGGTCACTCGTGTTTCGGTGGACATGGCAAAAGATCTGGAGATACTTCTGGTATGGAGGTAAGAGGACTACTTACTTCGACAGCTCGAGTACGTCGTTGATTATAAATTTTCGTAGTTTTTTATTTATTTCACTATGTCAATATTAAGAGAAGTGTATGTACGCAATAAAATTATGATATTGGTATTCTTCAGTTTTAAAGTTTATAAAATTTATCAAAAAATCTGTCACATCCTTCTCTCTATTGCTACTCTATTACTCTATTACTACCTTGCCTTCTTTCCTTGTCTAAGTGCGATGCAATACTTTCCATCGAAATTTTGCTGTAAATATTTATGCTTTGCTTTACTCGGCTTACCCTATATGTTACAGTAAATATAAAGTTATTTTTCTTATTTTAAAAATTCATAATAATTCCAATGTCTTGCACATTTTTCAAATTCTCATACTGTTGTGGATTGTTCATGCGGTTGAACTAAACAGAGGTCCTTTCTTGCTGATAATAGTGTTTTTCAGTTACGTGTAATTTTAAAACAAACTTTTTGAAAGAAAATCTGACTAGTGTGAATCGTTGATTATAGTTGCCTTCTTAGTCAAAAATTTTTGATCATCATCATCTGCTTCATCCTTATCCCATTTATTTGGGGTCGGCGTAATATGTTTTTCGTTTCCATTCATCCCTGTTCGCAGTCATCGCGTTATTTACTTCCTTTCTTACCATATCATCTTTCACACAGTCCATCCATCTCTTTTTTGGCCTTCCTCTGCCCTTATAACCATCCACATTCATTTGTAACATCTTTCTTAAAATATTATCCTCGTTCCTACGCATTACATGTCCATACCATGATAGACGATAGATTTTTTTTTTTTAGTCAAAAATTTTTGATATGTATTAGTTATTGTAAAAAAATTCACATTTTCATAAATTTCGAAAAAAAAATTTCATGAACTTGTCTACAATTGTAGTTGCCTTATTCTATGGACAAAATATATAGAATTTTATATTTTCATATATTTAGAAAAAAAATAGAAAAATTTATGAAATTAGAAAAAATTATAAAATTTTCTAGGATATGCAGCACACAATGACACATACAGGTTTAATACTAGTCTAGATAAACTTTATGTTAAACTATGTTGGTATGTTATCGAATTAATTTCAGTGCAGCAGTGTTACTTGTTTAAATCACATTAACTTGCCGCATAGTAATTGAACGCCCGACGACGACGTTATTGACAAGTACTTAAATTACATAAACCGCAAATGAAATTCATGTACGTGTTAAATTTAAACCAAGCGACTTTCATTATTGATCAATTACTTATACAAACTTTTAAACAATACATTTTTATTTTTGGATTATTTTCCCAGCGCTGTCTAGTCCCACGAGAGAGCAGCAGAGCTTATGTTACCCGTAATATAAGCTCTGCTGCTCTCTCTATATGTACTTATATCACTTGTCTGGTACCCGTACTAGAAAAGTGATATACGTATATATGTACATAGTATATAGAAAACACCCAGACCGATACAAACAATCATGTATACAAATGTTTGCACCGTGCGAGGAATAGAACCTGCGACCATCGGAAGTAAAACGGTGTACTAAACCGCTACACCACCGAGGCCGTCTAATAAAGATTAAATTGTTAACAGACACTAAGTCAATACTTACTGGTGATAGTGGTAGAGGTGACGACCTCGGTGGTCTAGCGGTCTAGCACACCGCTTTATGTCACCACTGTATGGTCGCGGGTTCGATTCCTCAAACATTCGTATTCATGGGTATGATTGTTTGTATCTGGTCTGGGTGTTCCTTATGAATAATTTGTATTGACGAAAAAAAAAATTTCTATGTACTTGTATTAGTTATCGTAACACAAGCTTCAGCTAGCTTAACTTGGGACTAGATGGTGCTGTGTGAATTGTCCTGAGATGATGATTATTATTATTTTTATATAGTAATGAATTTTAAATGACGAGTTGTTTTAATGTATAACAATGGAATGGTGTACCCGCCTGCGCGTTGGCGGGCACCAGTGGAAGATTGTTCATCTTATCATCCTCCACTTTGGTCAGGTCAATTTGTCAATCATGATATATTCACTAGGAATTTATCATAACGGTTTCTACGGGGGAAGTTAGTATAGTACACAGGTACATTTTTTAATATGATAATGGTGTTAAATGGTAATCACCTGATAGGAAACCATTACCGTATCCCATGGAAACTTGAAAAAAAAGGCTTCAAATGCCCCTTACCAAATTACAAGTTAATTATATAAAGGTATTAATTTGTCTTTGCTAAGCGCATTTTTTAGTAATGAGCAATTAAAAGCTGCAAATTTCGACTTGATCTTTGCAGTCTCTATAATAATGGACATCCTTTGTAATTTTATACAAAACTAGATACTCGCCCCGGCTTCACCCGGCTGTACACGTATTATATATAAACCGTCCTCTAGATTCACTTTATCTATTAAAAGAAATCACTTCAAAATCCGTTGTGTAGTTTTAAAGATTTAAGTATACATAGGGACAGACAGACAGCGACAGCGACTTTGTTTTATGCTGTGTAATAATAATGATGATACAAATAATTATTTATTTTTACAAATGTAATTTTCTCATTTATTAGTAATCTTTATTAGTTTCAAACCTACTGTTCTCATAATTGAAATTTTTAGTGAAAGCTATGGCAAGTCAATCCACCAGATGGAAAGCAACCATCGGCCTATATAGATGAACTATCACGTCATCACGCGTGACCCGTGATACCTATCAGGCATTAGGATGGAAGGGATAGCAATGTGGACTGACGACCGCTAGCAATATAGCAGGTTGAGCTTCACGCAGTTCCCTGGAAACCATCATAATAAATTCCTAGTGATTTTGCCACCATAGGCTAACACAGTTGATCGTTTATTTTATTATGCTCCACTAGTGCCCCGCCAGTGAAAACCGTTAGCATACCTTTCCATTATCATCTAACAAACCCCTCATGCGTTAGGGGAAAGGGGACTATTAGTAATGTGGAATAATAATAATAATACTCTTCGTGCATGGCAATAGTTGTTCATGCACGGGATTTTCATTTAATGTTAGACATAGACACCTATATAAATATACATTGTAAATAAACTGGCTTTTAAAAAAAAGTAATTCAATTGAGTTTCTTGCCAGTTCTTCTCAATTGGATCTATATATACCGAACTGGACGGTAGGGAAAAAAATAAATAATAAATTCAAATTAAAAAAATTCAAAAATAAAATTCAAAATATCTTTATTCATGTCTATTACAGACTCTTATGATATGTCAATTCTACCGTCAGTTCGGAATTATTCCGAGATGAGAAGAACTGACAAGAAACTCAGCTGGTATATTTTTTTTTATTAATGTAAAAAATTTGACGTTCGTCGTTCATAAGCGGTTAATATGTCCTACATGAATAAATGATTTTTGAATTTGAATTTGAATTTACTGTGTTAACAGTAACACAGTAAATTCAAATTCAAATTTTTTACCAGGTTGACTGGTAGACATCTCTTTTAGAGATAAGTAGTCATTATATTTAATTAAGTTTTCTACTCTGTTTAAAGTGCAATAAAGAATAATAACTCCTATTCCCATTACTAGCCATATAATTATATTGGTAGCGTCAAAGGTAAAGACAGGAATGGAAAGTCTTCACGAATTGCAATTCCTGATGACTGATGTATAACTGTCATTCTCTCTTCAAACAGAACTATGGCTTATATAGATGTTTGCAGGCAGTAATAATAATAATAATTTTAGGATAATTCACACAGTGCTATCTAGACCCAAGTTAAGCTAGCTAAAACTTGTGTTATGGGTATGATAACTTATATAAATACATATATTTTTTTTCGTAAATACGTACAAATTATACATAGAGAACACCCATATCTTTACAAACAGCCATAGGCATGAATACAAAATATTTGTGCCATGCGAGGAATCGAACCCGCGACTATCGAAAGTAAGGCGGTGTTCCAAACCGCTAGACCACCGAGGTCATCAATCTATGCGGCACCTACGAGTATGTTTGTATAGTCAACATACAATGTCTTGGTGTTTGTCGTAGAAATTTTTAAACTGTATTAATTTGTTTTGTTTCAGCCGAGTTCTGAAATGATAGCCAGGCATCAGCTAGGACAAGAGGAGACGGCCCCACATCCCATTTACCCAAACTCTGGTTACAGTGGGGTGCTGCCTCCTGGTGATGACATTATCCCCGTCAGAGATGGCGGTGAGTTCTCAGACCAACGTTGTGCATGCGATTTTCTTTGTTCTCCTACATTTGTTCTTCCGGTTGTCTGTAAGAGATTGCTTTAAGCAATAAGGTCGCCTTTTGTTTAGCCTATTTATGTAAAGTTTTCTTTTTATAAATATATTTATGTGGGTTATAGTGCTATTATTATTATTATTTATTCTTCTTTTTTATTTGCCGTCTCCTACTGGAGTTTGGCATCATCATTGCGATCTTAATTTTCTAGTCTACCATTATTCTGAAGGATCTGGTGCTAATCCCAAACCACTGTCTTAAGTTCTTTAGCCATGATATGCGCCTGCCCAGTCTTTTTATTATTATTTAATTTAATTAGACGTTATTTATAACTACCCGTAAATTATGTATTTCATGCATCAGGAACATAGACAACAAATCCTATTAATTTATAATAAACAAAAAAATATTATACAGCAAATTAAATGTAAAGATTTCATTTTTGAATTTATTTGTATAACTGTACAAGGTTAAGTTATCACAGATTTGTAGAATAAGTTGAAGATTTACTTGACTTACGCCCACTTAAACATAATAAGATTTAATACCACAGAATAAATGCAGGCAGTATCACAAAGTAATATTTTCGTTTATTTATATGTATATCTTTTTCAGTAGTAAGCTATATTAAATTTCTTCAGTGATGGTAAAGATTCTTTGCTTTTAAATTTATATCATAAAATAATGATTCATAATAATCCAATACAAATGACCGTAATATTACTAATTATTATATTTTTTCCTGTTAATAATCGGATAATAATATTAACTATTATTATTAGTAAGTATATTTATTTATTATTATTTAAGAGAATTATTGTACCTTCTGTAGAAATATTCCTTATTGTTTATATATTTTGGATTATTGGCCTGTAGCACCAGTACATGTAGCACCTTATATAATTATTTCTTAATTAAACATTACGACATTGCAGTTACTAAAATCAATTAATTCATGTAATCACCTCAGATTTACTATAATCTAATAATATGATCTTAAATAGACTCAATGTGCTTCGCTAACATAAATGTGCATTAAAATTGAAAAGGTTAATTGAATTTAAAACAGTTCTATTCTATTTCAAAAATAGATAAATTTTAACTCTCTACTTAAATAGAAAATAGTTCACCTCTATTCTAAAACAGGTTTCGACCTACTGGTTTATATAAACTGTAATATTGTTGCTCAGGTGTGTACGACGACAGCGCCGCCCGAGACGTAATGAAGTTTAAACTACGAAACATCATCAAACATTGGGTGAGAATTATTTAGACAACACTTGATAGAGTGCTTGTTACTTGTTCGATGTAGAAACAGCAACCGCTGGACATTGTCACATATTGTTAAGTGACACTTCGGCTTAACTATCCTGATTGAACTGTTAATATTAATTATATGTGCGGAATATGTTTGTACAATGTTTAGGTTAGTTTAGACAAGTTTGTACGTGTAAATTGTTTGGCTCGAATAGTTTAAGATATCTAATAGTTATAGACTCGTAGTCGTACTCGTAACTTAATATTATACATTAAGTTACGATATTATTTTATTTTTAATATTGTTGTAATTCATCATAAATTTGTAGTCATATTTTTTTAAAAACTTTATTTGCGATAGAAAAGTCTATAGGAAATATCAATCATGTCTTAATCAAATACATTTTTTTTTCAGATGGACAACTACAGACGGTCACAGCAGAACGACGACGGTTACTTCATGGAAAACTTGTAATTGAACTAAGAAATTTAAATCCCCAGTCCGTTACCTAATTAATAAATAAAACTATCTGTCATATAACCCGAGGATTTTGCTTTTTCACACATTAATATTATATCAAGTAAGTTTAGAAATTTTTGTAAAAATTAACTAAGTCACGGAAAAGGTTTCGTAGAAATTGTGATGAGTTACGAAAAGGTTTCATCCCTGGAGGGTTCAAATATCCCGGATTAATAATAAACATAACTTAATGATGTTGAAATAAGGATTGAATTGGAGTGGAGGTTAAACACTATGATGTCTATATTTATATGAGATATATATATATCTGTGGTAGAAGCCCTCCAGTGTTGAACATTCCCATTCCCATATATTAATATTCAATTGTCAAATGTGCAAATTTAGTTTCATAGCAATTAATGTAATTCTTGCTATATATTTAATTACGTATTACTATCCTATTACCAAACTTGATTCTTTATATTAAAATAAAGTGATATATTTATTATATTTCTCGTCCAGAATAGAAATAATGATGGGCTAGACACAGCCTACATTTTGTAAGAAATCTATCAAAAATTATTAAGAAATTTGTTAATAAGTGGTTAAGAAATCGTCAACGATGACTTGTATACCAGGTAGACTTATCTTGAACTTAGTCATATCCCATATTCTTTCGTTGTAAATTCCTTCAGCTAATGCTTAGACACAACATAATAGTTAAAAAAAACTACAATAAATATAAATCGAATCTTTGTGATTTAAAATATTTACATGAATTTAAAAAAAAAAACAAAATTTATTAAGTTGTTTTTGTAGAAATTTCTAACAAAATTTTATTTAATATCTGTTATTATTTTTGTTTATTTTCGAATTGTAACACAATAATTTTTATTTTATTTTTCGTTGTACAATGATAAAATAAAATGGATTTGTGACAAAATTTGCATAAAAAGAAATGTAAAAAACGGAATTCCTCCTATTTCTTTATTCTCATTAAATATCATAAGTATATTCATATATCTAGTCAATTATAAAGTGTATTTTAAATAAAAAACTGTTATGTAGATACAAGATCTTTTTATTATGTACGTTAAAGTCTATTTTTGTGTAAAGGCTGGCATTTACTTTATAACTATTGTATAGGTATGCTTATGTAAAAATTGCTTTTCTAAAATATCTATCATACTTAGTACATACTGATTTCGAAATAGATGTCTCGCGGCGTTAACTGTTTGTATTTTAATGCTATAAAAAAAAAGGTTTTACTTATTTTTTGTATTGGATGATTAAAAAACATTTACTTTTATAAATTCCTTCAATCATAGAAAGATACTTTACAGTATAATATGGGTTAGATTTTATTAAAAAATAATAGAGATTCCAAAAATTGCACGTGAAGTAATTTTTTAAATTATGTCCGAACATCGAGATAAGAAGTCCCAATCGACTTTGAAAACGTGAAAGTATATTGTTTGATACGGCTGAAAGGATTTAAATAAAATTGGCATATGTATGTGTATTTATATTACCCTAAATTTACACAGGTTTCTTTTTACGCGGGGTATTAGTTATATATATTTTTTTTATTCCGCGAGCTGTCTTTTTCGAGGCTTCAACATATTGTCTAAAAACTGTAAACATTTGAAAATTATTGTCTCCGTACCTGACCATTGTATTGCAGTATTTCTTTAGTATACAACGTAAGTTTACCATCAAAATAAAATTTTATTAATAATTACGTAGTAGAAAAATAACTATATCTGTGAATAATGTTTTGCGTATTAAATAAATGGTTAGATACAATACATTGTGCAAATATTTTTTTCTTGAACTACGAACGACCTTTGCAGAAGTGAGAATTCCCTGTCTAATTCAAACGGGGATCGAAATTACGGCGGCCTGAACTGTGGTTCGAACCCCTAGCTGTGTTCTCAGACTAAAGTCGTATCCGTTAGGATTTGGCCTTCAACCGATCCTTAAGTCTTTACGCAGGTTTGGAGTGCCATCTGCACTCGCCTATCCTATCTTCTGACAAAGCAGTAAAAGCCAGCTGCGGTCAACAGCATTAGAGTTGTTAAAAAAAACGTAGAAACAGAGGAGTAAAGGAGAAAGTAGAGACAGAGGGACATTGATAAATAAACAACTCTGATTTTTAAAAACTCGTATCAGCTCAAATGTTTTCATGTAGATTGAGATTCGTAAATTTTATGTAATTACAATGGTATACAAACTGATGGTAAATGGTAACCGTCGCCTACTACTACTACATGAACAGTAGCATATATTGGTTTATTTTTATATGTAACTAGCTGCCCCGCGCGACTTCGTCTGCATCACACTTATCATTATATATCGCCCAATTTATATAAGATATTTCTAATGATATTTTACCTCCTTAAGGGTAAAATTTTTACAAATTTGATTGTCATATTTAATCAACAGCCTCAAAAATAAGTTTCAAGCTTTTAGCTTCAAAAATGACGATTCTTCCTTACAATCTTTCAACCCCTTACAACCCTTTTTTCGCATTCAAAAGTAGCCTATGTCCTTTCTCAGGGTCCAGACTATCTGCGTACCAAATTTCATTTAAATCGGTTCAGTAGTTTTGACGGGAAAGCGAGACAGTAAGGATTAGAAAGGCACACCATCTGACATCCTACCTAACGTGGTAACCGTCGCTTATATATACGAGTATGAACAATACTACGAACATCATGTGAAACCATTATTCCCAAGGACTAAGATGTCAAATGTCTTATTCTCTAATGTCACTGCCGATGCCGATGCGCTTCATTTGCCGCTTGGCAAATGAAATAGGTGAGACTATAAACCAACAAAATCTACTCAAGTTCTATGTGAATTGAACTCAATTGCTTAATAATTGATAGTTAATATTTATTGCATTTCATAATGTCTACAGTACAGGTATTTACAATTGATATGTATATCATGTGTGTCCCCAAGTATCGTTTAGAAAAAGTCAATAAGTCTTATGGGAATAGGTATAAAAATTTACAATAAGATACCAAAGGATATATTGGAATTACCCTTAAATTAATTCAAAACATCTGTTAAATCATATTTACTGAGAAAGTTAAGTTATCACTATTACTCACTAAACGATTACTTGAATGACGAGCGTGCATGGCAATAGTTTTCATGTACGGGATTTTCATTTAATGTTATACATAGACACCTATATAAATATATATGCATTGTAAATAAACTGGCTTTTAAAAGAAAAGTAATTCAATTGAGTTTCTTGTCAGTTCTTCTCAATTGGATCTATATGTATACCGAACTGGACGGTAGGGAAAAAAAAAATTATAAAATAAAAATTTTACGTTCATAAGCGGCTAAAATGTCCTACATTAATAAATGATTTTTTAATTTGAATTTGAATTTGAACCCCGTTCGGGCACCCAAACAATAAAATTAAGGAGTAGATACTACATTGTAGATATGATTAACACGCAATATTTAATTAATAATGATTAATACTTTTCTTCATCATTAGCTGACAAATAGGGGTTGATGGTATAAAGGTGAAGATTTTGGGGTTGTATGTACTTTTTAATGCCACATCATAAAAATATATTTATTTTATCAAAAAAAAAATTTAGGAGTGAGTCACCCGTATCATTGAGCAGCATAAAAAATAGATGTTGGCTGATTCTCGACCTACCCGATATGCACACGTAATTTCATAAAAATCGGTAAAACCGTTTCAGAGGAAGTGAGTACTATACCAAAACGTGTATCCAAAGCTGCATTACCGGACCAGCTCTGGTTGGGCAGGAAGATAAACACGAGCTTTGAAGGTGAGTGTTGATGGAACTCAAGTCCTGGGGACTGCTCGAGGTTTCCCTCTCTGCCACACGATGGACCCGGCACTTGTACGGTGAATTCATGTAATGCTAAGAATATTTCTATATTTTATTTTATATATGTAGTAATAATATTGGCACTGTCAAATCTATAGCTGTATAGTTACAGCTATAGATTTGACAGTTATTATTAAATATAGTTATTTATAATCACAACTACTACTTTTTATTACAAAATAAATAGACAAAGTCAAGAGTAACGGCTAGTTTACTATATTTTCAATTCTAATTGCATTTTTATGCTTTACATTTAATACTAAGAATGGCAAAATGGAAAGTATGGCAAAACACAGGTTCTTGTCTCTAAATTTTTACCTTTCTTCTGTATTTTAAGAGAGAAAAAAAAAAATAATTATTGAATAAAAATAATTAAAAACATCTCCATGTTGTAGAAATAATCTTTAAATAGTATAAAATGAAATCGCTGCCGCTGACTGTTAGCTTAGTTCTTTTAAACCACGCCACAGGTTTTAATGTACTTTTTAGAATAGTTATTATATAATATAATAATATATATAATAAATATTTAATTGTATAATAATTATAATATAATATAATTGCAGTAGATATAATGATTCAAGTCTAAGGTTTATATGTACAATAGGTACCTACATGTACACCCTTGCGAAGTCGGGGCAGGTAGCGAATAGATAATAATATTAAGAAGCTGTGTAATTCAAATTACATTCAAATACACTGTGATCTATAAATACTTGCTAAATACTCAACTATTGCTCTATATTATTTAATATTTAATTGAACGGAACATAGTGAAACATCTCGACTCGAATATTCTGTAGAGATTTCTGGACAGATATCTAATGTCATTATTGGTATTAAACATTTACGACCGAACACAGATCTAATAAATAGTTGTACAACTTAGTCAAAGGATTCAGATGGGGGAACGAAATGTAGAAATTTTAGGAAATTCACTATGTGCTATTTATGTATCATTATAGTGAACAAAATGAAGAAATTTTAGGAAATTTACTATGTGCTAGTTATGTATCATACAGTGAACAAAATGAAGAAATTTTAGGAAATTTATTATGTGCTATTTATGTATCATACAGTGAACAAAATGAAGAAATTTTGGGAAATTTACCATGTAAATGCTATTTATTTATATTATATAGAGTTGTGTTGGCCTCAGTGGTCTAGCGATTTAGCACACTACATTATTTCCAATGGTCGCGGGTTCCA